TGTTCTTTTTGTCTTCACTAAAGACGTCAGTACGAAGCCTCTGTGTGTCCTGCGCTTGATTCCACACCACTTCTACACTCAACTGTGACAAATGTATAGCGCATAGAATTAAAAAGGTATTGTCGGATATTATTCATTCTAATCAGACAGGTTTTTTACATGGAAGATACATTGGAGATAATATAAGGCAAGTATTGGAAACAATAGAACACTATGGAAAATATGGGAAACCAGGCCTGCTATTCATAGCAGACTTCGAAAAGGCATTTGATAAAGTTCGACTGGGGTTTATATATAAATGCCTGGAGCATTTCAATTTTGGAGAATCTCTTAGAAAATGGATCAAAATCATGTATAGTAACCCTAGGTGTAAAATAGTAAATAATGACTATTTCTCAGAAAGTTTTAAACTGTCAAGAGGAGTGAAACAAGGTTGTCCACTATCGGCATATCTATTTATTGTGGCCATCGAGATGTTAGCTATTAAAATCAGATCCAATAATAATATCAGAGGATTAGAAATACAGGGCTTAAAAACAAAGGTGTCATTGTACGCTGATGATTCATGTTTTCTTTTAAATCCACAACTAGAATCCCTCCACAGCCTCGTAGAGGATCTAGATACATTTTCTAACCTCTCTCGATTACAACCAAATTATGACAAATTTACTATATTACGTATTGGATCACTAAAAAATACAATTTTTACATTACCATGTAGTTTACCAATAAAATGGTCTGATGGTGATGTGGATATACTCGGAATACATATCCCAAAGGAAATAAATGATCTCACTTCAATAAATTTTAATAGAAAGTTAGCAAAAATAGATAAGATCTTACTACCATGGAAAGGAAAATACCTGTCAATTTGTGGAAAAATCACCCTGATTAACTATTTAGTATTATCCTTGTTTACCTATTTGCTTATGGTCTTGCCTACGCCTAGCGAACAGTTTTATAAATTATATGAGAAAAAAATATTCAATTTTATTTGGAACGGCAAGCCAGACAAAATTAAAAGGGCATATTTATATAATGAATATGAATTCGGAGGACAGAAATTATTAAATATTAAAGCATTAGGCCTATCACTAAAAGCTTCAGTCATACAAAAGTTATACTTAAATCCGAACTGGTTCTCAAGCAAATTAGTAAGATTGTCTCACCCAATGTTCAAGAAAGGCCTTTTTCCCTTTATTCAGATTACAACCTCTCACTTTCAGTTATTTGAAAAGGAAATAATCTCCCAAATATCACTATTTCTAAAACAAGCCATAGAAAGTTGGTTGCAATTTCAATTTAATCCTCCAGAAACGACAGAACAAATAATGCAACACATATTGTGGTTAAATTCAAATATACTAATTGACAAAAAACCTTTATTTTTTGACAGAATGTTTAAAAAAGGTATAATCTTCGTAAATGATATCATCGGTAGGACTGGTGGAGTTATGTCGCACATGCAGCTAACAAAAACATATGTAAATGTCTGCTCTACCCAAAATTACAACCAAATAATTGCAGCCTTACCGCAAAAGTGGAAGAGGAAAGTGGAAGGGGGAGAAAGTAAGGAACTTGTCTGTCGGCCTTGGTTAAGGAAAACTGTGATAAATAAAAAAGTATATCAGTTTCACTTAAGGACCAAAGGATTGACAGCCGTCCCATATAGATTGCAAAATAGTTGGGAAGAGATCTTTGACGTACCGATCCCATGGTATAGTGTTTATGAACTGACACGCAAAACGACACCGGATTCAAAAATTAGAATCTTTCAATTTAAATTATTATATAAAATTCTTGCTACCAATAGAATGTTATTTATATGGGGGATACAATCTTCCCAGCTCTGCAGATTTTGCTGTGAAGAGACAGAATCATTAGATCATTTGTTTTGGTTCTGTCCATTTGTAGCTTGTTTTTGGACACAGGTCCAGGAATGGCTAAAGGATTGCAATATTTACCTGGAGCTAACCTTGCAGATAGCATTACTGGGTGATCTGAAAAGTCATAGTCAATCAATCAATAATATAATAATACTTTTAGCAAAAATGTTTATTTTTAATTCACATTCTGTAGAAGCAATGAGAATAGAAAGGTTCAGAACTTTTGTAAAACATCACAGTACGGTTGAAATATATATGGCAAATAGAAATCCTATATGGATGGTGTTAAGAGATAGATGGGAGGTATTGAATAGAGTTGAAGGATGGGACTAATAACAAATAACAACAAATAATAACAAAGATAACTAATAATTTAAGCATACTGTGTCCATAATAAGTATATAGGTTGTATGTTGGGAGCTTTTGGGAAAGAGCACAGTTAGAAAGATATGGCATATAGAAGCAAACCGGATGGACATCATGAAAATGATCGGAGAGGTTGAGAGTAGAAGAAGTTCAGGAGCAAAGAATAAAATAAAATATATATATATATATATATATATATATATATATATATATAATAGAATTATTGTAAAATTAACTCTGTCCATAAGGTGTAGATAGTAAGTATAGACCGGAAGTAGAGGCCTGGGCATTGTTTTTCACTAATTTACTCCAAGTAAGGAAAGGATGGTGGGGTTGAAAAGTAATAAAGGGGAGTATATATATATAAAAAAAACATGGGGAATTGGAAGTGATGCAGACAATTACATTGATAGAAGATACAATCTATCTGCAATATTAAGCTGATCCATTCCCCCCCCCCCCCCCCCCCCCCCCCAATTTTTTTTAAAATAAATAAAAATAAATAAATAAATAAAATAAACACAGTTACAGTGTCTGTCTGTCCCCATACGGAAAATTATGTTTACATTTGGGAAGTGCAAATTGTTTTTAAATATTTTTGAAAGAGATGTATAAAATACACTCATCTGTATGGTATGTGATGTATAGCAATGCACACGCAATGGGCATGTAAATTATGATAGAACACATATCAAAGCAATGTGAACATGACAGAGAGAGGGATATGCTTGAGTTTCTTATTCGGCTGTCACCAAATTCTTTTTTTAAACGCTGAAATGTTCTTCTTTTTTTGTCTTTTAAAATGCTGAGAAATCCATTTATGGATATGGGAAAATCCACTCTGGACAAATGGCCTGTGGGACAAAAAAAGAATAGTTTATATCACTGCTACTTTAGCCATGTGTTATACTAAGTAAAAGAACAGCTAATAAAATGTATATATTTTGGAAGGATTGTACAGAATCATACCTCAGTAGGGTAGAGTGCCAACACAATCAAATGGCACAGCCATTGGTGCCATGAGGTCTGAGTGTGTGGGAGGGAGCTGGCCAGGGAGTGGCCTAGGCATTTGAGTTGGAGCCGTTGTGATGGTCGAATCAGGGTGCATTTTGTAGAGTGTCTGCCCAACATACCTGCTGTTATTGGAAGACATTTTTTTTTGCGGGAGATGGCCAGAGAGAGCAATGATTGGTGGGCACTGTATTGTCATATAGTCGAAAACAATATTTGCCTGCTTTCCTGGAGTAAGTGTTCACTTCTTTGGGGTCCCTGTTCCCCAGATACCCATTCATTCCCATGGGGGGAGGTGGTGGTACGAGAATGTTCCCCACATACCCAGGATACCAGTGGAGGCTGCTGTGGTGAGGACGGCTCATAATAATAGCTGAAATGGAGCGAATGGAATTTGATACCATTCCACTGACTCCGCTCCAGCCATTACCATGAGCCCGTCCTCCCCAATTAAGGTGCCACCAACCTCCTGTGCAGGATACATCCCCATCAGGGGAGGAGGTGGCATAGGCTTCTTCTGTAAACACATCAATACATTTTCAAAAAATATAATAATAATAATATATTACATTTGTAAAGTACTTTTCTTAAAGTGCATAAAAAATAAAATCGCCATATACACTGAGTATACAAAACATTAAGAACACCTGCTCTTTCCATGACAGACTAACCAGGTGAATCCAGGTGAAAGCTATGATCCCTTATTGATGTCACTTGTTAAATCCACTTCAATCAGTGATCAGATAATTGAGACATGGATTGTGTATGTGTTTCATTCAGAGGGTGAATGTGCAAGACAAAATATTTAAGTGCCTTTGATCGGGGTATGGTAGTAGGTGCCAGGCGCACCGGTTTGTGTAAAGAACTACAACGCTGCTGGATTTTTCACGCTCAACAGTTTATCAAGAATGGTCCACCGCCCAAAGGACATCCAGCCAACTTGACACAACTGTGGGAAGGATTGGAGTCAACATGTGCCAGCATCCCTGTGGAATGCTTTCGACACCTTGTAGAGTCCATGCCCTGACGAATTGAGGCTGTTCTGAGGGCAAAAGGGGGGTGGATACAACTCAATATTAGGAAGGTCTTCCTAATGTTTGGTATACTCAGTGTATAACCATATCATAAAAGTAACAATTAAAGTCTAGGAGGAAGGGTAGTTCAGGGGAGTTTTAAGGCCTGCTTTAAAAGCCCCAACAGTCTGAACAGCCCTGAGATTGTCAGGATGGGAGTTCCAAAGGCGTGGTGCGTGGGAGGAAAAGGCACGGTCCTACATTGTTCGGCACCGGGTCCTGGGTGCATGAAACAGTTTGGCATGGCTTGACCGTATGCGTGGAGGTTCATAGGGGGAGAGTAGATCCCACGGGGGACCAGTCTGAAAAAAAAGTATGCACTCACTAACTGTAAGTAGCTCTGGATAAGAGCATCTGCTAAATAAAAATAAATAAATAAATGTCGATCTGAGGAGGAGAATTTTAAAGTCAATTCTTTGAGGGACAGGTAGCCAATGGAGGTCAGCAAGGATGGGGGTGATGTGGGCAGACGTTTGTGTTTGTGTCAGAATCCTTGCAGCACTGTAATTTATTAATTGAGTTTGCAGGCCGGCCCCTAAGTACTGCATTCCCATAACTATATTTATATCATACATACTGTATATTAGTAACATTCTCACAGTTAAAATACAAATTGTTTTCCACCAAAGACCCAGCTGAGCCAGCCACCTCTTTTTGGTGTCTTATGGACAGCAGGGGTCTCAGGCCCAGCCACCGGGCCGGCTGCCAGTTGGGCTCTGAGGGGCACTCTTTCTGCCTGTTTGTGTGTCCTCTCCTCTCCAGTCTATCATCGCATCCACATTGTAACAAAAAAAAAAAGAGGGTTCGCATAGACCTATGGTTTCTGCATACATACACAAACACACACACAAACACACAGACACTTTCCCTCGCTCTTTTGGACACTCATAGCCGTATCCTCATTCACTACATGTGGACACGCCTTCAAATTAGTGGATTTGGCTATTTCAGCCACACCCGTTGCTGACAGGTGTATAAAATCGAGCACACAGCCATGCAGTCTCCATAGACAAACATTGGCAGTAGAATGGCTCGTACTGAAGAGCTCAGTAACTTTCATAGGATTTCCAAGTCAGTTCGTCAAATGTTTGCCCTGCTAGAGCTGCCCCAGTCAACTGGTTAGTTATTGTGAAGTGGAAACATCTAGGAGCAACAACGGCTCAGCCGCGAAGTGGTGGGCCACACAAGCTTTACAGAATGGGACCGCCGAGTGCTGAAGCATGTAACATGTAAAAATTGTCTGTCCTCGGTTGCAACACTCACTACCGAGTTTCAAACTGCCCCTGGAAGCAACGTCAGCACAATAACTGTTTTTTCGGGAGCTTCATGAAATGGGATTCCATGGCCAAGCAGCCGTACACAAGCCTAAGATCACCATGCGCAATGCCAAGCATCGGATGGAGTGGTGTAAAGCTCGCCACCATTGGACTCTGGAGCAGTGGAAACGCATTCTCTGAAGTGATGAATCACGCTTCACCATCTAGCAATCCGATGGATGAATCTGGATTTGGCGAATGCCAGGAGAACGCTACCTGCCCGAATGCATAGTGCCAACTGTAAAGTTTGGTGGAGGAGGAATAATGGTCTTGGGCTGTTTTTCATGGTTCGGGCTAGGCCTCTTAGTTCCAGTGAAGGGAAATCTTAACTCTACATCATATAATGACATTCTAGACAAGTCTGTGCTTCCAGCTTTGTGGCAACAGTTTGGGGAAGGCCCTTTCCTGTTTCAGCATGACAATGCCCCCGTGCATAAAGCGAGGTCCATGCAGAAATGTTTTGTAGAGATCGGTGTGGAAGAACTTGAATGGCCTGCACAGAGCCCTGACCTCAACCCCATCGAACACCTTTGGGATGAATTGGAATGCCGACTGCGAGCCAGGCCTAATCGCCCAACATCAGTGCCCGACCTCACTAATGCTCGTGGTTGAATAGAAGCAGGTCCCCGCAGCAATGTTCCAACATCTAGTGGAAAGCCTTCCCAGAAGAGTGGAGGCTGTTACAGCAACAAAGGGGGGACCAACTCCATATTAATGCCCATGATTTTGGAATGAGATGTTCGACGAGCAGGTGTCCACATACCTTTGGCCATGTAGTGTATCACCTGCTTCTTGCTCCCCCATCCCCCAACGCATACACACCATATCAACCACACACACACACATACCAAATCAACTACATAAATGCTGTAGCTCGCCCACACCCTCAGGGATCTTCACCACGTGAGGATGGAGTGGGAGAGTTAGAGCTGAAATAGCTCCTGCGCCACCAACCACAGGTCAAGTTGTTTAGGATTCCAACCCTTTCAACCAACCATGCTGGAATACCTGTACAGGTATGTATGGTCTTATGGTGTGGTCCTGTACGTGTGAGCCCAACCCTCTCTATTGTCTTTGATGATTATTTGATCAGAAAATAGATACATAAAAATAGACTTATTACGGATCCAAAAATTGTCTATGTTGGTTTTATATTCTCTCTCTCTCTCTCTCTCTCTCTCTCTCTCTCTCTCTCTCTCTCTCTCTCTCTCTCTGTGTGTCTCTCTCTGTGTGTGTGTGTGTGTGTGTCTCTGTGTGTGTGTGTGGGCGCGCAGGCTCAATAAGCATGTCAGAGTGAGTCAGTGTGTGGAGGTAACAGCAGTTCTGTCTCACAAAGAGAACAAGGCATTATACAGCTAGTACTATATTATCCGGTTATACACCTGGACACGGATACTAGAAGAGTAACCCTAAGGCATTATTCAGCTAGTACAGTAGGACACATTATACTAAAGAGAGGAATACGCTGCTGATTCTACAGAAGAACTGACAAGACAGGACAAAGGAGCCTGTTGATTGTAGACAGCTATGCAGCTTGTTTCAGTGATGTAACTACCAGATCACTATCATCCAACCCTCTCAGTCTACTGACTAAAGAGGAGAGAAGAGGAGAGCAAGATAGGAGAGGAGAAAGACTAGAAGGAAGGTTAAAGAGGACTTCCCGTGCAGCTGGTTGGAGGTGTGTTTGTCATGGCAGGGGCTCAGCCAGGGACACATGCTCTGAAGCTCAAATCACCGACCGTCCCCGATACTCTGAAGAATGGCAGCCGCTTCATGAAATGGGACGATGTGAGTATCAGTGTGTGTGTGTGTGTGTCTCTGTGTGTGTGTCTGTGTATAGTTTGAGCTGATTTTAGGAGTGAGAAGTGTCAGACATTTAAGATACAAATGTGCACACACTTGACGTTTGTGGTTGTGATTGCGCATGTAATGTTGGTTGCAAATATGTTTCAATGTAGTTGCTGTGTGTGTGTGTGTGTGTGTGTGTGTGTGTGTGTGTGTGTGTGTCTGTGTGTCTGTTTGCAATATAGTGTGTGTTTGCAAGCGTGTGTGTGTTTGCAAGTGTGTGTGTGTGTGTGTGTGTGTGTGTTGGTATGTTGAAGGTTTTAAGCACAGAGTATGGATACAGAGAAATGTGCTGGCATGTTGCTATGGTAACTGCCATGGTTTAAATCCCTCCTCAGTTAGCCAAGATGTTCCACCACCTAAAAGAGAGAGAGAGAGTGTGTACGTGTGTGTTTGTGTATGTGTATGTGTCGCTATATATTTCTTAGTAGAGAGGTCATTCGGGACCAGAGTGATTCACGCTTATGCAATGCCTTATTCAAACCCAACTCAGCTTCAAACACACACACACACACACACACAGCACACTGAAATCACAATACAATATATTCAAATGCACATTACATACGTTATTAAAACCACCAACGTCAAGTGTATGTGTGTGCGTTTGTGTGTGCTGATATCTGTCTCCACGTGGTCAGGATCTCTCGACAGTGACTCCCATTACCCTGACTGTGGATCCACACGGATACTTCCTTCACTGGACCGATCAGAACAAGGTACACACATGCACATGCGCACACTTACACACACACATACAGACATAGACACACAGAGGAGATGAACGTCACACCATGCTATTTCTCACGTTGGGACTCCTACTGTGTATCCTGCTTCCTGCTGGGGCTTAGTCCACCTGTGTGTGTCCCCCTGTGTGAGTGTGTGTATGTGTTGATTAGAGTGAATGATGAATATTATAACATCCCTCTCACTCCTTCTCATGTCTTTACTCTCCCTCTCCCTCTCACTCTCTCCCTCTCTATCTCTCCTGTAGGAGACAGAGTTTTTAGACATCACCCATATAAAGGATGCCAGAACAGGGAAGAGCACCAAAACACCAAAGGTACTTAACTCCCAGGACATCCCAACCCTGACCTCTGACTCTTGACTAAGGTGCGTCAAATCAGGCTCCTGTTGGTTTACATAATGACCTTTGATTCAGAGTCTGATTCAGACCTCAGAAAAAATGGTGTGTTGTTTCACTAGCCAATTAACAATACAAATCAGTAACACTGATCAATTAAGTACCAGGTGGAAATGAAAACACATTTTGCCCTTGAGGACTGGAGACGACACCCCTGGTCTAACCTTTGAACCTGACCTTGACCTCTAACCCCTAACCTGCTGTCCTCCCTAGGAGGCGAAGCTGCGTGAGCTGCTTGATGTGGGGAACCTGGTTGGTCGTATAGAGAACCGTCTGTTGACCGTAGTCACAGGACCGGACATGGTCAACATCACGTACCTCAACTTCATGGCCCTGCAAGAGGAGGAGGCCACGGTACACACACATACATATTCGCACACACACACACACACACACACACACACACACACACACACACACACACACACACTGTTCTTCTCTCTCTCTTTGTGTTGAATAGGAGTGGGCTGTGGAGCTGTTCTCTCTGGCCTCCAACCTGCTGAGTCACAACATGAACAGAGAAACCAGTCTGGAGAAAGCGTGAGTCTATCAGGAAAACTCATTTTGGGGCTGAATCTCCATTAGGTGAAACAGCGCCACTGGAAGCCCCAGGCACATTTGTTATTGTTTTGGTTTTGTTCATGAAAGGAGGAAAGGAGCATCCAGCGTCATGGTAAAAAAAAATCATAGTACATACAGTACCTTTCTGTTCATGCAGTGAGGTGCAATGTTGTCCGAGGGAGAAACAACAGTGTTCGTTGTTTTAAGTAACGTATTTGTTGTTGTAATATCACAAACGGAAGTAGCAGTTTCACCACGACAGATTCCAGCTTTAAAGGGAATTGTTGGTGTCAGCCAGATCCGTGATAGCGATGGAGATCACTGGAAATGTAGGTGTGACAGAGGTGTGTTTATTCTTCAGTTTCTCGCTCCCTTTTTCCCAATCTTTCTCTAACAGGTACGTCAGACTGACCTTGCAGCCAAACTCAGAGGGGCGGATCCCAGTGAAGAAGTGAGTGAATCCCATTGGTTCCTCAATAATTTTAGGGGGTCGTCCTGAGCAAGGCATTGTGCAGTATCACTGATCTATATAAATCACCTGGTATCCTAAATAACCACTAATTATGGGATCAAGATTAGTGAATCTGTGCAGCGCTCATAGAGATAGATAGAGGACTCATCTTTATATCTGTGCCATTATAGCGTCTGTGACAGCATGAGCAGCGCCATTGAAGCTATAACCCATAGGAATCCCCACCCAGTTGACTAATTTGACTACTTTAAAATGGTGGAAGCATGGTAGAAGCCCTCAATGGCACTTCCCATGCTAAAACTGCCTTTTGGCCACTAGAGGCCTCTATCATTCTCTATGGCAGTGCTTTGCTCAGGACCCATCCCTTCGAACACTGATCGTCACTCCCGTGTCTGCTGATTAACTTCCTGTGAATCCTGTAGGATGTGATTGATTGATATTGTGCATGTCCCACCCCTTTTACCCAGCATCGTCCGCATGTTCTCAGCAGACAAAAAGAGAGTGGAGACGGCCTTGGAACACTGCAACCTACCCTTTGGACGGGTATACATTATTACTATGGAATACTATATAATATAACAAACTATACAATATTAAAACTGGTAGCACTGGTGGTATTTTAAGTGGTAGTTCTTTCCTCCCACATTAAAGCCAACTGTTAAAATCATCACTTCTTGATACCTGACTCATCTCAGTGATATGTGTTCCTCTGCAGAGCAACTCTATTCCCCTTGAGGACTTCACCCCTGACATTTACAGATCATTCCTCTCCCACCTCTGTCCTCGGCCAGAACTCAGCTCAATCTTCTCTCAGCAGTAAGTACTATCAGTACCTCCTGGCCTCAACTTTAAACCCTGACCCTTTCTGACCCTTCCTCTCCAACCTCTGTCCTTCGACCAGAACTCAGCTCAGTCTTCTCTCAACAGTATGTACAGTCACTAATTCCTGACTCTCTCTCGCTCTCTCTTTCTGCAGGGGTGCTAAGGGTGCTTACCTGTCTGTGGATCAGATGACAGAGTTTATTAATGAGAGGCAGAGAGATCCTCGTCTGAATGAGATTCTATATCCTCCTCTCAGACCCTCTCAGACACAGACCCTGATGGAGAAATATGAACTCAACCAGAGCCTGCTCAAACAAGGTGTGTGTGTTTTGTGTGCATGCATTTGTGCCTGGGTGTAATCTTGAGTGTGTGCATGAATGCATACTTGTTTGTGTGAGTGTATGAGTGTGTATAACCCTCCGTTGTGTGTGTGTATGTGTCCTGTAGGCCTGATCACGTTGGAGGGGCTCAGCAGATACCTGGTGTCTGATGAGAATGGAGTGATTCCTCCTGAGAAACTGGACCAGTCTGAAGACATGACCTTCCCTCTGTCTCACTACTTCATCAACTCCTCACACAACACCTACCTCACAGGTACACACACAAACGTGCGCACATGAGCACACGCACGCACACACCTATTATTTGTTGACTCGCACACTATCGCACTTGGAAGCTGATGACAAATCTACTTTATCTGTGTGTATGTATATTTATAAATGTGGTGTGTGTGTGTGTGCGTGTGTGTAGCTGGGCAGCTGGCAGGAAGTTCATCAGTGGAGATGTACCGTCAGGTGATGTTGGCAGGCTGTCGCTGTGTGGAGTTGGACTGTTGGAAAGGACGGACCGCAGAGGAGGAACCAGTCATCACACACGGCTTCACCATGACCTCAGAGATCTGCTTTAAGGTACACACACACAAACATACGCATGCTCTGAAAACTCCTGCGTCAAAGCTAACTCCATTCCTCTGTGTCAAGGCCAGATTAGTCTTTGCAACAAAGAAACAATGTTTCCTGCTTGCCTTGTCCATGTGCTTCTAAAACTTAGCATTTTATACGGATATAGTCTATATCTGATAATAACTTATATACATGTACATAAAATATAACTTCTCCTTTTGCTCTACAGGAGGTGATTGAAGCCATCGCTGAGTGTGCTTTTAAAACCTCTCCTTTTCCTGTCATCCTGTCCTTTGAAAACCATGTGGACTCGTGAGTAAACATAGAGATGAATAGGTGAATATACTACAACATCTTTGGTGAACTGCTCTTTAATCCTGACCCCTGACCTCTAATCCTAACAGGCCAAAGCAACAAGCCAAGATGGCAGAATATTGTAGGTCGATTTTTGGAGATGCACTACTGATAGACCCACTGGAGAAATATCCTGTACGTTTTTAGCACACACATGCACGTACCCACCCACTTCCCCCCCCCCCACACATATGCATATACGCATGCACACACGCTCTGATATGTGTGTTTGTGTGGGGGGTGGGTTGGTGTGTGTGCATTTGTTTGTGTGTGTGTTAGCTGGAGTCTGGGGTACCCCTGCCAAGTCCTCAGGAGCTGATGGGTAAGATCCTCATCAAGAACAAGAAATCCCACAAGCCCTCGGCTGCCCATGGCAACAACCGACTAGCAGGGCAGCCAGCCAACCAGAGCGCAGCAGAAGAACAGGCGACAGATGAACCCTCGTCTCCTAGCAACATCACAGTTGGTGAGCCTGTCTGCAAGTGTGCTCTAATGTATAAAAATTATGATAATAATACAAATCATGTTCATCATTTTCACCACTATCATCAGAGCTGGTGAGGGTCTCTAGAAGCCTTTTATAAGAGTTGGCAAACATTTTTCACTTTTTAAGTATATGAAAATGTAAACCGATTTTTCTCTTCTTTCAGGAGAAATAGAGGCTGAAGACGATGACGATGACGATGATGATGACGATGACTGTAAGAAGACGTCAGATGAAGTGAGTTCAGTAGCTTGTACTCTGCTACCATGGTTACTTGGTTACCCTTTAACACTGGTGATGTACTGTAGGTTAGAGGTGAAGGGTCAGGGTTGGGGTAACATGGCTGCCTGTTATGTGATGGCTTTGTCTCCAGGGGACAGCAGAGGAACGGGAGGCCGTAGCCACAGAGGAGATGTCCACTCTGGTCAACTACGTCCAGCCCACCAAGTTCAACTCTTTCGAGGCTTCCAAAAGTATTCTGGCTCAGTGCAAATACACACAGACACACGCACACATGCACACACCCACGCACGCACAAACGAACACACACAAACACATAATAAACCATTATGTTCTTTCCCCAGAGGTTAATCGTAGCTATCAAATGTCATCATTTGTGGAGACTAAAGCTCTGGAGCACCTCACCAAGTCGCCCGTGGAGTTTGTGGAGTATCCTTAAGATTCAGCTGACCTCTAAATAACCCCAACTGTAACCCTGAACCCTAACTCAACTCCAGTATTAGTTTGTAGTGTTGTTGATTACTTTCATCTCAAGGGTCGCTTTGCTCTATCTTGGCTTATTCCATTGAAGAATAGCTGCACATGAGTCTCATCAAAGCAGGTGACTATACAAAGGCCCTACTCTACTCGCTGTAATGTCATGTAAACGTCTTTAACCTGTCCTCTCAGATATAACAAGCAGCAGTTGAGTCGTATCTACCCTAAAGGCACGAGGGTGGACTCCTCCAACTACATGCCACAACTCTTCTGGAATGCTGGCTGCCAGCTGGTGGCACTCAACTTCCAAACTATAGGTGAGGCATTTTGATTGTGTTGCCTTGGATGTGATCTAATAAAACCAATTGTTCACAAACTATAGGTGAGGCTGCACTGCTTACTTGACCTATAACCACTGACCTCTCTTAAACTCTGACCTCTCTCTCGCAGACCTGTCTATGCAGTTGAACCTGGGCATGTATGAGTACAATGGGAAGAGCGGCTACAGACTGAAACCAGAGTTCATGAGAAGACCAGACAAACACTTTGACCCGTTCGCTGAGAGCACCGTGGACGGCATAGTGGCCAACACTGTCAAGGTCAAGGTAAGAGTTACAGAATACCATAACACAACACACTGTCTGCCATGGTTAACTAATTAACCAGTTAGTTTAGACTAAACTGTGGTTATGAAATGAGCGTCTCTCTCCTACAGATAATCTCAGGCCAGTTTCTGAGCGACAAGAAGGTAGGTGTGTACGTAGAGCTGGACATGTTTGGTCTTCCTGTGGACACCAGGAGAAAAGCCCTGAAGACCAAGACGTCCCAGAGCAACGCTATCAATCCAGTCTGGGACGAAGAGCCAATTATCTTCAAGAAGGTGAGAAACAGTCTGACCGCCATAAGACGGGACTGTGTTAGCCTTCTGAGCTAAAGCCTAGGCAAATCTTCAGGTCTCAGCAAGCTGTATAACCATAGAACACGAGTGTATAATATTGAAGTGTAACAGTATAACTTTGTAAAACGGTAGTATTTTAACTGTAGAACTGTGTATAATATTAAAGTATATCCATGTGTGACTGTGTATAATTGTGTTGTTGCAGGTGGTTCTCCCCACGTTGGCCTCTCTGAGAATTGCTGCGTTTGAAGAAGGAGGAAAGTTCATAGGTCACCGTATTATCCCTGTGCCAGCCATACGGCCAGGTAAACATGATATTTAACTGTAAACAGTAAACTCTGCCTCTGCAATGAGTTTGTCATCTCTTTCTCTGTAGTCCCTATTGTCCTCAGGTTATTAACTGTGTTTTGTCCATCTCAGGTTATCGCTACATTGGCCTGAGGAATGAGAAGAACCAGTCTCTGATTCTGCCTGCTGTGTTTGTCTACATTGAAGTGAAAGACTATGTCCCAGACACCTTTGCAGGTAGGTCTGGTATACGACAATGCCTGGAGGTCTCTATGTAAACTTAGTACCTTCTTAGAGTTCAGTTTGTCCACATGGTATCAAGGCTAATCCCTAGTGTGTGTGTGTCTGTGTGTGCGTGCGTGTAGATGTAATCGAGGCGCTGTCTAACCCCATCCGATATGTGAATCTCTTGGAGCAGCGGTCCCAGCAGCTGGCTGCTCTCACTCTGGAAGAAGGGGAGGAGGAGACAAGCAAAGAGGTTTGTGGTTGAAAATTATGGAGAGTAAAAACAATGTACGTATTTAGAAGTACTGTTACATTGCTGTTGTTGATGGTGGAGATAGTAATGTTAAATGTTGTTGATGTTGTTGTGTTATTGTATTAAAGGTTGAGGCTAATGCTGATCAGCCCGGGCTTGCTGAGCCAAAAGCCAACCTACGATCTGCTCCTTTGGAGAACGGTCTCAGGCCCAGCCCTACCATCACACCCAGGACTCCGACTAATACACCCCAGCCTGCAGCTACAGGTAACCCCTGACCTCTGACTCCTCCTGACCCTGACCCACTAACTTCTAATCTGCTATCGCCACATCAAGACTGCTACAATGTCACTGCAGATGTATTGATGGAGCACGCCAACCAATCATAGTCTTTTCTAGTTGTTTCAGAACCAACCAAACCAGCAGCGAAGACTGAAGACATGGTGCAGAGCGTTCTGATAGGTCAGAGGAGAAAGGGGGGAGGGGTTGTGTGTGGTGGTGTGTTGTCAGTATAAGATAGTATGGCTATGGTGTGTAGTCTATGTGTTCGACTGTGTGGTCTCTGCCTGTTCAGATATGGAGGCGGCCACACTAGAGGAGCTCAGGCAACAGAAGCTGATAGTGCGGGAGCAGAAGAGACACTACAGGGAGATGAAGGATGTGGTGAAGAGACACCAGAAGAAGACTTTGGAGATGGTGAAGGAACAGACCACCAAGTACAACCAGGCTCAGAACCAACACACACGCAGACACAACGCTCTACTGAAGACTAAACAACATGGTAAGACAAGGTAGGTAGGGTGGAGGGTAGGGAGATCTGGTAGAGTGTAGGGTTGTGTGTGTCTGTGTGTGTTGTCCCTAAACCCTTGACTCATGTCCTGTGTGTGTGTGTGTGTGTGTGTGTGTGTGTGTGTGTGTGTGTGTGTGTGTGTGTGTGTGTGTGTGTGTGTGTGTGTGTGTGTGTGTGTGTGTGTGTGTGTGGTAGAAGTTTGTCACCCGGAGGGAAGGCTGAACTGAAGCAGTTTGATGAGGAGGGAGAGGGGCAACTGGGGGAGCTGAGAGAACAACAACAGCAACAGCTACTGGAGCTGAGACAGGAACAATACTACAGTGAGAAATACCTCAAACGAGAACACATCAAACAGGTAACACACACACACACACACACACAGATTATATATTATATAATTGTACATTCCAATACTGTATATCACCACTATTGCAGCTGAGTGAGAAACTGACTACGGTGACTGAGGAAAGCCAGAACAACCAGATGAAGAAATTAAAAGACATCTGTGACAAGTGAGTTTGATATGACTGTGAGACAGCAGTTTAACAGAGATGTGAAGTTAGTGTACTATAGAGATAACTGCATATAAAATATATAATTTGTGACGCTCCACCTTTGCAGAGAACAGAAAGACCTGAAAAAGAAAATGGACAAGAGGAGAACAAAGAAAATTAAAGAAGCTATGACAAAAGAGAAGCACTTGGCGGAAGAGTAAGTGTACAAAACCCTATAACTTTAATCATTAAACCCTCTCCCTGGCTCTGGGACTGAAGAGACAAACTTTGTAGCCTTTTACTGCTAAGGTAGACTACTATCCCCCGCCTCAGCCTGACCCCATTATCCAGTGGCAGAGATCACTTCACACACCTCTGTGTTAGGGTCCGACCAGGTTTCCAGGGAACTCAGTCAGCTGACCTGGTCAGCCAATCACAGACCCTATCTGATAGGATAACAGCCCCCCCCCTACCATCAGTACCTCAGTCTCTCACTGCAGCTAACCTCCTTGCTACACCAACAGCCAAGGACTCACCTATGGTCCTCACTCCTTGGCCGCTTACTCTCTGGACATTCCACCACTGGTGTTAGTGCATTCATGACCATAAAACCACTATTCACTACCACTAGTTCCCTCCACTGTAAAGTCATGTGTGCCTGTCTTGGGTGTGAAATAAAGTGTGAATTGTATCCCTGTCTTCTGCTGGTCATTATCAGTCCTCTTACCGGGACTCTGGGACAGCTGTATCTATACTAAACCGACACCTCTTTCGGAGACCACGATCAACAGGTGGTGCTCTTTTTCATGGTTAGGTACAATTGTGCTAGACTATGACCAGTAGCGACGGGATGCAGTTCCCACCGCATGCCATGCCCCTGACCAGGCACGCACACCGGCGAGAAGAGGAGGACCGGAGACACCAGCGCATATGGAAGGAGCTCCAGCAAAGAGAACTCTATGTTTGTGTGTGTGACACAAAGAGAGGCCGGATTTCTGTATGTATGACTTTATATATTCTTCTGTTGTTAGGGAGAAGTTGGAGATCAACAAATCATATGTGAATGAAGTGGTACAGAACATCAAGAGGGTAAGGATGGAAGGATTATGGGTCAGATAGTCTCTCGTGGCCAGACATCACTCCATACTCTCGTTGGAGAATCAGCGGCGTGACGTCTGGTACTGTTATTTTCCTGTGAAGTGATAGAGCTTCCAGGATGGAGCGGGCCAGTCACTGAAGGTAACCTCTCTCTTCCCTGCTCTAGCTGGAGGATGCCCAGGCAAAACGCCAAGAGAGACTGGTGGAGCAGCACAAAGACATCCAGCAGCAGATTCTTGATGAGAAACCAAAGGTGACATACCAACTAACCCATGACCTCTTACCTTTAACTCCGTAGCCCTAACCCTAAACCTCTAGCACCTAACTCTAACCCCTGACCTCTACCCCTTACTCCTAACTCTGACTCCAGCTGCAGGGTGCAGTGGAGGCGGAGTACCAGGAGAAGTTCCATCTGTTGCCGGGGGAGATCCAGGACTTCCTGCAGAATAGGAAAGGAGGGGTCAAAGGTCTAGTCGGGCCCCGCCCCTCCACCCCCCATGACATGCTCTCTGAGGAGGAACTAGAGGATGACCGGAGGGAGTGAGAAAGAGAGAAGGCGAGAGGAGATAGAAAGAGAGCTTTTCTTCTTAATGAATGCTGGTTTAGTACTGCACTCTACAGGTAGTCCTGGAGAATTTGTATTGTTATCTTATCTGTAGCATATTGTAAACTTTTTGAGAGATGAGATTTGATATATACTCCTACTGCTACATTGTACTCTTGCCTGCCTTTAATGGTGCTTTCAAGACAACTGGGAACTCGAGAAAAAAAACGATCCTGACGTCAGTGATTTTCCGGTCGGAGAGTCAGAGCTCTAGAAAGATGCTTGAGTTTCCGAGTTGGAATTCCGAGTTGGATGACCGTTCAAAACTATTTTTCCCAGTCGGAGCTCGTTTTTTTGCGAGTTCCCATTTGTCTTGAACGCATTGAAGTCGGATATTTCCGAGTTCTGAGTTGTTTTGAAAGCGCCATTATTGCCGCGTTCACATGCTAGTCTCAACTCTGACATTTCAGATTTGCTGATTCGTTGAACGCGGCATGTGTATAACTACAACCAGTTAGCAAGTCAGCCATTTCAGAGTTTCCTTGTTCCGACTAGCACGTGAACGCGGCATATACCCCATGCAAGCGATGCATTCCTACGTTATACTTCCGTGTTCATGTCCTTGTATTTTTTATGGACATGGCGATTATATCATCAAATTTATGAAAACGCTGTTATATAAAATATCAAATTATATTTGTGAATGAATTTACTTCTGCCAAATGCCTTTCATTTCGTTTTTGTGCTGAAGACCATTCATTACGTTTTTGCCCATTGAAAACCATTCAAAAAGCCAACAAAATTAAAATCCTACAAGGCTACTTGCCACGTCACTTGGTCTAGTTGCAGGGTTTCCAAAACTCGGTTTCCCCAAGGGGTGCAAGCTTTGTTTTTTGCCCTAGCACTACACAGCTGATTCAAATAATCAGCTAATCAAGCTTTGATAATTTTAAACAGCTGTGTAGTGTTAGGGCAAAACCCAAAACGTGCCCGCTTGGGGTCCCGAGGACCGGGTTTGGGAAATGCTGGTCTAGTGGCTGAACAGTGTGTTGCATGAGGCCAAGCAAAGAACATGTTATTATTCTACTGACCACATCTTGACCTCAGACACGGTCCTGTTGTTCTGACCACATGTGGTTCTTATCTAGTCATAGGGTTGGGGTAGTCAGTCTACTGCAGTTATACTGCACTCTGACCACAATCTTTTTTTGTAAGGGTGGGCTAAGCTTTAGCCCTGGGCTGAGGATTCACACTTGTATTCCAAAGCCCTGGGCTTACAGAAAAATACACATGCAACCAACATTCTATCTCTGCCACGCAATCAATGTTAAGCAATAAGGCATTTTATTTATTAACAAATTATTTCCTCTTGCTTCTAGTCTAGGATTTTATTTCCAACAGTGATGGTTTGTATACAACTTGTTGTCTGCCTGTCAGACCTGGGAAACAATGTTTCACTTGTGACATGCTATATCGCCCCTGTACAGTGAATGCTGTGCACGGACGAGACATCAACTTTTCTGATCCAAGCGAAATCATGCAACAATATGATTATCAAGGATAGCTATATCCAATTCAATGTTAATAGAAAATCTATGAAAACAGATGAAAATGGAATGTAAGCTGCCCTTCCTGCTGTAGAGTTATTGGCTTCTTCAGTTGGCTAGCTAGCTACGTGAGAAGACGTTAGCCAGCCTGCATAGCAACCGTTTTTGTTAGCCATAGCAACCAATGTTTTTGCATGGATGAAATTTAAGTATTTCGTGTTTTTGTTCGATTTCTTAGCTGACGGGAGGATGAAATAGTACACATTTACTTAAAATACCATGCAGAACGCATCACAAGCATATGCAAATTAATTGAAAGTGCATCTTTTGTGATTGAACAATGAAAATGCTGTGTTGTTCCTGTCCTCTTTTCACACTGGCTATTTTGGCACGTGTTTGGGGCTAACCCCGAAAAGTCGGTGCTAACCCTGCTCCTGATCAGGGCCAGCTAGCCCAGGCTGCGCTAAGGTTGGTGCTAGCCCACTTTAAAATGTGCAAGTGTGAACACTCGCTTAGTCCCGGGATAACATCTCCCTTAGACCAGGGCTAAGGAGGCTCTTAGCCCTGGGCTAAGGTGCAGTGTTAAAAGCACCTAATAATTGTTTTCTACTTGGTATTAATGCTTTTAGAGTTTTATATGCAGACGTTTTGCTAACGACATTGATCTGTTATTTAAAAACGATGAGCTGTTGATTGTTTGGTTCCTTACACTTTCAGGGATGCATGACTTTATGCAGCATTTTTGTTGAATGTTTAAAATGTACTATTATATGCTTAATAACATGGATGTACTGGTTCAATCATAATTAATGACTTAGTTTGTTTCATGTTAGTTAATTAGTTTCCTTTTAGATATTTAATACAATTATATCCCAATTATTTTTCACAATTTCTAACTCCTGATGTAGTGTAAAATAACCAAATAAAATGTCAGATCCGACAAAGATTTAGTAGTGGTTTCACATGGGACCTGCAACAATGTGTTGCAACTGGCTAAGTATGTTTTTTTTTTTTTTTTTTTTCTGTAAGTACTGCACTTTACTTCACATCTGTTTGACTATTTTACTGGGGTTAAATGTCTGTTTTGATAAAACTAAATTAGTATACTGTAGTAATTACAAAAAAAGAAAGTTGTATTAAGTTTGATCTATAATTTGGATCAATAAAATGACATGAATTCCTAGGAAGAAAACCTATTTGTCAACATGTTATGGAATTCCAAACTGTGTTTAACTCTTTTTGAATAGGATTCTGGTAATTATTTGAATGTTTTTGATGTATATAATTGTATTGGATTTATTTGTATATAGTTGTATTTATTTGATTGCAGTAATATATTGAATAATAATAAGAAAAGTCAAAGATAAGATGGGTGTTAATAGTAAGAATGTTACTATAATTATTTATTTATTTAATTTTCAAAGTTGTTCTAACTTGTATGGAGCCTTTGCTCTCAGTAAAGCCCCTTGTTTTTGTGATTACTTGAAGCACATTTGACTAAAATATTTATTCTGAAATTAGATGTGTGTATTTTCTTTCATTAAAATAATATATATATTTTTGTCATTTAGCAGACGCTCTTATCCAGAGCGACTTACAGGAGCAATTAGGGTTAAGTGCCTTGCTCAAGGGCACATCGACAGATTTTTCACCTAGTCGGCTCAGGGATTAGAACCAGCGACCTTTCGGTTACTGGCACAACGCTCTTAACCACTGAGCTACCTGGTACTCATCTAACTGGTCTAACTGGTACTCACAAATGCAAACATTACATAAGTACATACACTTACCTGAAACCAATGACAAAAGGTTATTTTAACAGCCATACAAAACATTATAACATCTGCCAGTCGTTATTTGAACTGGCAACAGCTCTCCCTGCTGGACAGACGCTTGACAAATGTGTTACAGTGTTCTTCTTCTTCTTCTTCTTCTTCTTCTTCTTCTTCTTCTTCTATAATATCATGGCGGTCCGCAAACAATCGTTTAAGTGCATGCCGCCACCTACTGTGCTGGAATGTATGATCAATCATGATCTGCCCAATTCTGTACTACCATGAAAATAAAATTCTAAACCAAATAAATCCCTAACTTCTACCACACCCTCTCCCCTCCCCCCCAAAACCATTACACTTTATCTATATCATGCTGAAACACTCCACCCTTTGGATTGTTCAGCATGTTAACAACCATTTCAACAGTAACATCTGTTACCCTCAATATCTCTTTTGCCGTCTCCACAATAACCTTCAACCTGACATTTCTGCTTTCCACAACCCGAGTCGTATTGATAACCTTACCAAGAAAAGCTATGAAGTCAACTTTATTAATTATCAAAGTGTCCTTTGACACCGCACATTCATGAGCACAAGTTTTTGAACAGGCCTCGAAACCATGGACCATCAGAAGCACCACCCCCGACAGTACAGTACACTTACTACAGGTACATCCATGTAAGCTCCATCAGTCAGCACTGTAGTTCTACCAATCTGTTTTATGGCCTCTGCATACGATACATCATGACTGATCCTCTGAGCCTCTCTCGGTCCCTGGCATCCACCAAATGCACACTGTGTTCTCCCCCACAATTACAGCAATTAACCTTCACATTGCTTCCACATTCACCATAATCATGTGCCCCTCCACACTTGGCACATCTTTTCTTTCCTTTACACTGAGCAGCTACATGTCCCATTCTTTGGCATTTAAAACACTGCAGTGCATATGGTACAAATTCTCTAACATTGAAACTAAGGAATCCTATCTGTACTTTCCCCGGCAAGACTTTCTCAAACCTCAGCATCACTGATAAACGTTCACTTATTTGACCCTCTTTCCTACTGATCAACCTTTTGGCCTCAATCACTCTGCCTCCCTTCACATTTTCTTTAATATCATCTGTGGACATAGATATTGGGACCCCAGTGATGACGCCCCCCAATATAGCATAAGCACCAGGGACATGGCTTTTAATCTTCTTCCCATTAAGCTTTTCCATTTTCAGAATCTTCTCTTGCTGAGCCTGGCTACCACACAATATTAACAATCTACCATTTCCAATGAAGCGAGCTAATTTCACTTCACTTACCTCTTTCTTTACGGCATTAGTTAGTCGGATAGGGTGTAAGTGAGGCCCTGTGGTCTCATCAAACACTATCACCACTTTCCAATCCAACACATCACTACTCTTGCTTCCTACCTTGGCCCTCTTTATGCTTTCTGTATCATGATCTCTCTTCTTCCTATGTCTTTCCACTACCGACCATTCCGATCCTTGATCCTCATCCTCCTGCTCCATACACTCAGAACTGACACCCATATTGTTCGCATTCCAGCACAGCTGTTGCTTCACCAACTTTTTCCAAGTTTCCTCCATTTCGTCCGCACTACTGCAAACTCAGAGTAAGAATGAAAGAGTAATTTGTCAAAAGAGAGGATAAAAAAATCATTGGTAAGCCAAATTTGAACAATGAAATACATGTTTTAAAAGTCAAAAGCTCCAATGTCATTATATTCTGTATACCTCATTGTAGTTGTATTTTATTTATTGTTGATTTTTTTTTTTAATGTTTGGCTTAGAAATAACAATTTCCTCGCTATACACTGATTACAGTCTGTGCAGTTGTGGGGGAAAACGCACGCGACCTTTGATTGTTTTTGTGCCATTTCTTTGCTTTTTGAGAGTGTGGAGTGTACCTTTTGTTCTGGTGCTCTCATTCAAGTGACAATGACAGCCTGTCGATCAAGATGCATGGAACCCGCCCCCTTCACCCCTCCTGCTCCCTGGCCGTAGCAAGCTGAGAGCAGTGAAGACGAGGTAGCTAGTTTTGAAGCCGTGGCATAAATGATCTCATCTCAGCCCGATCTCCGCTTTCTACAGAGGACCCTATGACCAACACCGGAATAAAGTAAAATAAAGGTACGCTAAATGAATTAACCGACTCTATTTATTTGTTAGGATTGATATGGGGTTTTTATTGAAATGTTTATCTCCGAAACTCTTGTCAAATGTTAGTCTGGTGAGGGAGGGGAGGGGAAGGCGGGGGGAGTGTTAGCTACACATTTAGCTAGGTAGCTAACGGTAGTTAGGTAGCTAAACCATTTTCATGCGGAGGTATCCACGCCAGTTCGGCAGAGTGGATAAATTATGTAGTTGGAAAAGGGAAGTTTGTCATTTTAAAACGGTGTTGTAATAATCTACCCCAATGATATCCGTTATTTTATAGTTCAATGATTATATCTCAAGAGTGGGAATCAGCTAGCTACAGTAGGTAGCTAGTTATTTCAAAATGGCCTCATCTCCGTTGTCGCCCCATAGTCGCTGTTGCTCGACCTAGACAAAGCATGCGGTACAGCTACCAGAGAAGGACACGAGCTATTGCAGTGAGTGCAATATAAATAACTAATTTCATTATGTACATATTTGTGTATTAACCTATTATGAATTGCAGGATACACACTCGCACTTTTGGGTAGTCAGCTAATTTCTCCATTCAAATAAGCATAAGCGGCAGTGGAAATACTGTCAACGTCAGTACTGTGGGGGAGGGGAGACAACTCCTAGGTGGAGCCAGAGACGAGGAGGAGGATCTCTGGTGGCGCTGTGGGGGTTAATGCTCTTTTATGTATTAAGCCTTGTAGCTCTTTGACGTTTAGAACGGTGTAATGTAACTGAGGCCACAGAGTACAACAAGCACAGCATACAGGAATGAGGTTCCCTCCTTACATTTGGTACTGACAGATTAATTGATTGGAGTAAACCTTGATTCATCAAAACATTGATTCAGCTTGAAGTGTTGTATGTTGGCTTGACCTATGTTTTGTTTTTATTATAGCCACATTAATCTATTAAATCCTATTTGTCAATGGATTTCAGCCTAACAGATTTGTATTGAACAGTCCTTTTTAGGTTTGCAGTGTTCATAAAGAGCAATAAGGCCCCCTCCTGGCACCAGTAACTCGTTTTTGTCTCATCAAAATGATTGCACCTCTTTTTTCCTTGTTTTCAGATATCCAATCAGCTAGACTCCCTTAGTAGAAACCTATTGTTTGGGGGTGGATTGAAGCATTAGCATGAAGCATGTGTTGTTGTTACTTGTGTAGTATTTTGCTTCTTAGCTATAAATTCTCCATTATTTTTGACAGGCACCACTAAGGTAACAAAAGAGAAACAGAGAAAGTACATTCATGTGTCTGCCTCACATTTTGTATTTTGAATAGGGTACCTGGCAACGCTGCTCATGAATTGGACTAGAACATATGCAGAAAATTATTATTTGGGTTCTAGCAACTTGGAACACATCAACATTTGCTGAATTTGACAGTTTTCTTGTACTCCAGAGGTTTGTATCAAAAACAGACTGTTTGTCCATTCTATCTGTGGTCTGACGCAGGGCCATTTGCAGTGTTCAGTTGTTGCAGCTAACATGATCTTAGATTTCAGTAAGGGCACCAGTCCAATTATGTGACAGATCGTTTTTCATCATGGTTTATTGATGGCTAATGACATTAGAAGCACATTATCACCCTCTAGTGAAAGCAATGGTTAGGCTAAGTGGTGGGCCATAAAGTCTGCATTCAAGTTAGGTTCATTAACACACTCAAAGCACTCTCCTGATTACTTCCAATGGTGAAAACATACAGTAAATGCGACAGTGTCACTTGTGATAGCATTTGTTGCTCCAGTACGGAGATGTCCACTCAGGTAGGACCGAAGCTCAATATTCCTCGCTTGGCAGACTGATAGATTGTGCCCCTGCAGCCCAAGAATAGATAGATACAAGACATTGCTTATTAGGAACATTGCATAAGTTGCTATTATCAACTGTGTGCTTTTTTGCCATAAGCTAGTATAGTGTTAAAATAATCTATTAACTGCAAATGTTTGCTGTTTTGAACCAAATGTGTCTTGTCTTTTTTAGTTTCCTTTATTGCATACTTGCCTCCTGTTTGATATAATTTCTTGCTTCGTAGATGGTTGATCCATGTAGCAGAGTAGTAACTTCAATTACTGCCCCACCCACTGCTCTCTCTGAGGAGATGCACACCCTGACAGAAGTTCCTTTGTTTTAGTCTGTAGTGTGAAGTCACACAGGCTCCTGTCCTGTGTTCTCTCCCTACTCTGCTCTTCCCTGCTTGTTGTTCCCTTGGAGTTTTACATTTACATTTTAGTCATTTAGCAGATGCTCTTATCCAGAGCGACTTACAGTTAGTGAGTGCATACATGTTTTTTGTGTGTTTTTTTCAGTTTTGAGGCAAGTCTTCTGATATCTTCTCATTCAGACAGAGATACTGCTTCAGGAAGGTTAATTTTCACTTTTCATGCTTTCCTTGTAATGACATTCTAGCAGTTCTATTTTTTGGAGCATGGTGTGTATATCTCAAACATATCAAATTTAAACCTGTGTGGTATTCCTTTGACTTTTCTCACCCAGTGTGTGTCCTATTCACTTTTGTACTACCGGAGTGAAGTTGTTAACTCACTTTTGCCCATAAATAGGAGATGTCTGACGACAGGTGGCAGTGGGGTGGGATGGTGTATGTACATGAGCTGATTGTGTTTTTTGTTGTTGAGAAAAGCCTGACCTGTCCTGACTTTGACCGCAGTGATGGTAGTTGGTTGGTAACATGCTGTATTTTCGGTGGTTCAGTGGGTCTGTTAAAAGTGTGGTTGTTCCGCCCAGCAGGAGCCTTGCTTCAGACTGGCCTAAAATGGGCAGAAAGGGTGCAGAACAAAAGCTGCTTGTTGCTTGTACAAAAGTACTGAAGCGCTGCAGCCGGGACCAAGCTGCTATGCTAATGCCTGTGCCTCTCAACAGGAAAGGTATAGCAAACTTTCAGAAAAACAACCAGCTATTTATACTGTAGCACATTACATTAATATTTAGCTAACCTGTAGAGATTCTTCATCACGAAATTCTCTTGCCAATGAATAGTTTGTCCTTATGCCACACACTTCAAACATAACACCACAAATTATAAGTTCATAGATTTTTTTTATGTAGTTTTGATAACTAAAATTCATCAAGACAACACAGTATTTCATGATATCATGTGTGTTTGTGTTAGAATGTTACGTTTTTGTGACAGGTTTGTCACCAATAACACTCTTTCCATTTCCCTTCACCCCAGAGAGCCAAAATGTTCCCGAAGGGCACGAAGCGCAAGTTTTCCGACTCCAGGGAGGAACCTGTGGCAGGCGGTGAGGATGTGAATCAGTCGAGTTCGGCGGCTGTGAGGATGCTGTCGTCCTACAGCCTGCAGCGACAGTCCCTGCTGGACATGTCCCTGATAAAACTGCAGCTGTGCCACATGCTGGTGGAGCCTAATCTGTGCCGTTCAGTGCTGATTGCCAACACGGTGAGGCAGATCCAGGAGGAGATGACTCAGGACGGCACCTGGCAGATCATGACCCAGGCCCTGAGTGCTGCCAACGCTGCTGCCCAGTGCTCTGCAGACCGCCTAGTGGCCACTGAGGTGCTGTGTCGGCAGACAGAGGTAGCCCAGGGGGAGCAGGTCCCCAAGCCCTTCCCAGCGGTGGGGTCAGAGGGCTGCCCTGCGGAGGAGGAGGAGGAGGAGGTGGTGGTGGAGGAGGAGGAGGAGGAGGAGGCGGCAGAGGGGGGGATGACCATGTCCACGGTCTCCCCCCAAGCCCCAACCTCCTACCTGCCAGGCACCTTTAGCATGGACCCCTGCTGGGAAGAGGAGGGGACGGGTGAAGATGATGATGATGAGGAGGACAGTGAGGAGTGTGGGTCTGGATCGGAGGGGGAGGAGAGGGAGGAGAGGGAGGAGAGGGAGCGTGACAGACTGGTGGAGGACTCCAGGACAGCAGAGCAGGTCTTTGGCACGTTCGAGATCAAAAACCCTGCGCCCAGCCCCGACCCTGCCCTGGAGGAACTGTTTTCAGACGTGGATGCGTCTTACTACGACCTTGATACAGTGCTGACAGGCATGCAGAGTGTGCCTAAAATGGGGCCCTACGACCTCCTGGAGAGCCTGTCCTCCCATGGGCCCTCACCCCTCAGCTCCAGCACCAGCTGCCGATCAGACCTCAATGAACTGGACCACATCATGGAGATCATAGTGGGCTCCTGAGAAACAACACATTCCCATGCATACTGACTTTGCAGACTCTTTACAGACTGTGCACATGGTGCGTACATGGATATGGTGTTATTATTATACGTTCAGATGTTGAGGGTTTATGAAATCAAGAACTTATTCAGTGTTACCACATGCAGCTGTGCATCTCTAAATGGGCAGACATTACAACCTATACCATTTATGATTTTTCTTATTTTACATACTTTTCTATATTTCCTTTTGTCATACAATCTATTTTTCCAGTTTTGTTTTTATTTATTGTTATATGTATAGACTGAAGAACAATGTCATTACACTACACACAAATAGAGACCGGAACATCCAAACCTCTGAAGCAATGCATATTTTCCTAAAGAGTAAAACAAATATTTGTGAAATATATGTATATGTACGTACGTATGTATATATAAATATATTTTTAGCAACATACAGTTTGAGAAATTTACCAGTATGATTTAATATAATTTCTCCCCCTATTTTTAATCTGACAGAGATTTTAATGTAGCCAGATTCACCCAATGTCTTCCTATGGTTTGGGTTTAAGCATTTAAGTCTCAAGACGGGCGCTGTTTTTCCCACTTGATTTGAATCCATCCCTTACACCTAGAGTAGATTTGTTAAAGTATTTAGAGAAACTCTTGCTTGATATCAGCATTAAGAAGCCATATTTTCTGATATTTGTATTACTACAAATGTAAGAATTATTGGTTGACCATTAAGTTATTATTTATTTAATTTATTAAATACAGACAAACATGCCACGTAGATTTTTCAACTGAACCGTGTAGACCCATGTGATATATTTTATATTATAAACCGGGTGGTTCGAGCCCTGAATGCTGATTGGCTGAAAGCCGTGGTATATCAGACCATATACCACGGGGATGACAAAACATTTATTTTTACTGCTCAAATTACATTGGTAACCAGTTTATAATAGAAATAATGCACCTCGGGGGCTTGTGGTATATGGCCAATATACCACGGCTAAGGGCTGTATCCAGGCACACCTTAGCTGTTGTATATTGGCCATATACCACACCCCTTCGGGCCTTATTGCTTAGTTACAACTCAATACTCCCCCTATTCACTATGCATTTCATTTGCGAAAATATATTTTGTACAGAATTCAACTATTATTTCTTTTATTTATTTTTACAAGCAGCTCTTTCTCTATAAAGATTTCTTTTCATAATGTCTCCTTATCATGATGAAAAGATTACTCAGGCAAACCGTACCAGTAAAATCTGACAGTATTACTCTGGTCATTACTACCACAACACTCCTCTGAATGATGTCACTGCTTCAAACAGGAGCTCGAATTTCAAAGACCTTAACAATTGTAAAGTATATGCATTTTTATATTAAGAAAAAACATTGTAGCATCTTTGTAAATATTTTTTATAATAAAAGGTGCAACGTTTGTGTGCAATTTTTTCATCTAATTAATTTAATCAAATGAATCTGTTAGTATAAAGGTAAGTTAAAGTATTGTGGTTGATTTGTAGTGTAAGATGTGTCATGTGCATACCAATCAGAGTTGACAACCAACAAAAACGTACACAATAGAGAAAATGCACAATGTCAATTGATTTCTGTAGTGCTCAAGAAATTATATTCCAATGACACTAACACTGCATTTCTTAACACATGATTTGAAACGGTACATCATTTGATGACTAAGTTCATGACAACAAAAATATAAACAATGGAGTAATTCGATTTTAGTTTTGATGAAGTGAGATAGTTATACTTATTAATGTGTTAATGTCATATTCTTCCAAATCTTCATTGAAATGACTGTAACACGTATTGAATGACTCATTCAAAAAGACACATTGATCTCCAAATTTGTGCCTATTAATTTCTTCCTCCTAAGGTAAGACACACACACCTTTACAATTACAATAGACTTTTGACGTTACGTGAGTGTACATGGTCCACCACAATAGTTATTTTCTCATAAAAGAAAATGTAAATGTTACATTGTATGAATATAACTGTTCGTACTCCATGCGTCTGTAACCGTGTTTGGATGGTTTTAACAGTAACATAACTGATTTGGCATCAGAGATGCACTGCAATGTAAACTGGATACAGTGTATTTCAATGCATGTAAAAAGTTAACAAGCCTCGAAAATGTGTTGCACATTTCCCATCCCCGTGAGTGGTAAAGACCGCCCATTGACAATTAGGTGGAGGCTTGGTCTGCGGTCTCGTGGACCAATTGCTTTCCTAATGGGTCTACCCGGCCGAGTGTCTCTTCTATTCCCTGTTTCCTTTTACGCTGTAGTCCCGCCCCCCTTCTGTCGACGTCAGCCCTCTAAGCAAAACAGACACGTTTTTCAGCTGTCAGTGAAGGGGGATAGCCATAACGAAAAAGACACGGCCTTTGCACGATTTCTTTCCTTCCTCACATTTCAGTAAGATGCAGTGAAAACTCAACTGTGTGAATGACGGTCTTCTGAGAGAGCAACGACTCAACAATGCGCAGGATCTTTTATAAACAGAGGAGTTGGAATCAAATCCAGTAGCTCCATAATACAGGTAGAGGAGCCTCTGTGATTAGTGTTTGTGAGTTTTGTAGATAGTCGTGTCTCAACAGCACTTAATAAATTGTAAATATATATTTTTTAAAGATGCATCATTCATCCTGAACTCAAGCTCACATTTAGTACTTTCTTACACATGAAAATATGCATAAATACAGTAGTTAATTAGATCCCTGTCAACAGCGAGTCACAAGTTGCACTAGCCTAGGCAGCCGATATTGGGATCTAGCGCTATCGTCTAGGATTGTTGTGCCCAGCCGGTAATACACTGAAGTGTCCCCATTGGACCTGCTTGTACATAAAGCATCCTCCATTAGCGCCCACTATCTGCTGCCTGGGCTAAAGTTGCATGTGTAGGCCTGGCCAATACAGTAACAGCTAGTACACAAGTTGCACATGTAGGCCAATACAGTAGCCTATCAACCCACTGAACAAGAGCCTTACATTACAAACTAGATTTAAAACCATATGAAGGCAAGACTCAAATTATGTGTATATTTCACACTCAAATGTTGATCAATGAAAGTGATAAATGTCTTTCCTGTCTAGATCCATGTTGGGTCGTGGCGTGAAGCGGAAACAGAGTTGTAATGAGGAGGCAGAGGGGCTCAAGGTCTATTTGCCAGAGAAGGCTGAGGTCCAGGTTCAGGGTGACCTGGCCTAGTCCATACATGTGGATAGTATTTTTGTCATACTATAACTGTTTTATTAAGGTGACGGAGACTTGACGGTGTATCTACTGAGAACATAATGTTCCGTTTTTGAGGGAGTCAGCAGAATGCGAGAAAAATATGCAGTACTTTTACTTTTAGTGCTTGTCTTATTATATAATGTATCTTCTTGAAATTGTACATTATTTTAGCATTTAATCAAATTATAGCAGCCACTTTTCCCTTTAAAAAACAGTGCCTTAAAGACTTAAAATAATTCTGTAGAAATGTAGTATTTGAGTTTCAATGAGTAAAGCTAAGAAATATATCCAGTGGAGAGCTGAGCAGTGAGCGCCTTCCTCCGTGAGTGTTATGTAAAGGCTCAATACAACCCAGGATCATCCTCCCTTCCTCCGTGTCCCTTTGCCTGTCTTTAGCCACTGCAATGCAACGGGATGTAATCTTAATTCACTTGACATCCCACCAGTGCACTAGCTGGGAGGAGATGAGACAGAGAGAGGGAAATAAGAGGGGGTGGGAAATGTAGGACTACATCTCTTGTCATGTAGGAGGGGCCTACTTGTGAAAAGGTGATTGTTTTGCTCTCAGTATTATATTTCTATTCATAGACTCAACCCGCTAGCCAATCAAATGACGTGGGAGGAGTGTTCTCTTCCACCAACCCCCTGTTTTCTCTGTCTGGAAAAGCAAATCCTGGTGGTTGAAATGGAAGAGAACTGGCTCAGATAGAGTTGTACACATGTAATAACCTCTGTTACGCTGCTTTGTGCTGATTAGCTCCATCATATCCCAATGTCTGTGGTTTAGAGTATTTAGGCAGGTTAACAAAACACAGAGGAACACAATGGGGAAAGATAGAGGTGGAGGGGAAAGATAGAGGTGGAGGGGAAAGATAGAGGTGGAAGACACCAATAATGTGATTACATAAATAGTTAAAGCACAAGCAATCCAATTTTCCATAAAATCTATCCACAGTAAGAAGACACACCCAATCATTACTTATTTTCCTATTTGGACCATGCACTCCTCTAGATGTCAAGCCAGGTTTCTACAATGAGACTAAGGCTGCGTTTACACAGGCAGCCCAATTCTGATCTTTTTTTCACTAATTGGTCTTTTGACCAATCAGATCAAAGCTCTGAAAAATATCTGATGTGAAAAGCTCTGATGTGATTGGTTAAAAGACCAATTAGTGGAAAAAATATCAGAATTGGGCTGCCTATGTAAACACAGCCTTAGAGATGGGTATTTTACAAAATATATGGACAAATGGGACAGTCATACATTTTTGTAAGCTTTTCTGTTTCTCGAGATGTTAATTGTTTTGAGGTGTAGCATCATAGAACATTTGGTCATGAGAATGACTCCTGTTATTAGCAAGTTACATGTCTTCCTCCAGCTCATTCATGTTTTGTTAGGAGGCTGATAGTAACTTTGGCTTGTACATCTGCTGTATCAAATACTACTAGTTCAATGTGTTCAATGGCTTTTAAGTGCAATATAGACTTTTTAGGTTTGTAGATCATTATAAAATGGAACGAATCAACTCTTGCAAAAGCTACTGCCATTATCCTGGTTCATGTAGTCAGATATCAGTATTTGTTTTATACGGACATTGAAATTTAATTATGTTTAATAACATTTTAAACTGTATACGATGCTTTGCGTCAATGGTTCTCTTCCCATTATAATTTCTGTGTATACTTTTGTTTTAATTCTATCACATACTATGCCATAGATCTGACCCACCAATATTGAAAAAGTAATACAGAGACTTGCCTCTTGATTTTTGTTAATGAATATTAAATATCTTCAATTAAAATATAGGTTAATGTCAAATGTACAGTATATTAAGACGTTTTTGTAAAGTTAAGTAAAAACACAAGTCAATTACAAACCTAAAAAGTAATAAATAATAAATATACCATTTTATGTCTAGCGCACACAGTGCTGACTGCTTGTGAATATTGCCAGCAGACAGTTTAGTATGTCTGCAAAATGGGGTTCAGGATTTGAGACCAGTCTGCCCTCTAGTGGAGTGCTGTGACTGACTTCCAAAGTCTTTCCAGAGAGTTGTATACAGAAGATAGCCCTATTTGGTAAAAGACCAAGTCCATATTATGGCAAGAACAGCTCAAATAAGCAAAGAGAAACGACAGTCCATCATTACTTTAAGACATGAAGGTCAGTCAATCTGGAAAATTTCAAGAACTTTTAAAGTTTCTTCAAGTGTAGTCGCAAAAACCATCAAGCGCTATGATGAAACTGGCTCTCATGAGGACTGCCAAAGGAATGGAAGACCCAGAGTTACCTCTGCTGCAGAGGATAAGTTCATAAAAGTTACCAGCCTCAGAAATTGCAGCCCAAATAAATGCTTCACAGAGTTCAAGTAACAGACACATCTCGACATCAACTGTTCAGAGGGGACTGTGTGAATCAGGCCTTCATGGTCGAATTGCTGCAAAGAAACCACTACTAAAGGACACCAATAAGAAGAAGAGACTTGCTTGGGCCAAGAAACACGAGCAATTGACATTAGACCGGTGGAAATGTGTCCTTTGGTCTGGAGTCCAAATTGGAGGTTTTTGGTTCCAACCGCCGTGTCTTTGTGAGACGCGGTGTGGGTGAACGGATGATCTCTGCATGTGTATTTCCCACCGTAAAGCATGGAGGAGGAGGTGTTATGGTGTGGGGGTGCTTTGCTGGTGACACTGTGATTTATTTAGAATTCAAGGCACACTTAACCAGCATGGCTACCACAGCATTCTGCAGCGATACGCCATACCATCTGGTTTGGGCTTTGTGGGACTATCATTTGTTTTTCAACAGGACAATGACCCAACACACCTCCAGGCTGTGTAAGGGCTATTTTACCAAGAAGGAGAGTGATGGAGTGCTGCATCAGATGACCTGGCCTCCACAATCCCCCGACCTCAACCCAATTGAGATGGTTTGGGATGAGTCGGACCACAGAGTGAAGGAAAAGCAGCCAACAAGTGCTCAGCATATGTGGGAACTCCTTCATGACAGTTGGAAAAGCATTCCAGGTGAAGCTGGTTGAGAGAATGCCAAGAGTGTGTAAAGCTGTCATCAAGGCAAATGGTGGCTATTTGAAGAATCTCAAATATAAAATATATTTTAATTTGTTTAACACTTTCTTGGTTACTACATGATTCCATATGTGTTATTTCATAGTTTTGATGTTTTCACAATTATTCTACAATGTAGAAAATAGTAAAAATAAAGAAAAACCCTTGAATGAGTAGGTGTTCTAAAACTTTTGACCGGTAGTGTATATAAAACCAGGAACACACCTGCAAACCAATTACACAATATCATAGAAAAGTATTTTGTTTACAATCTGTAAATATAACTTTGCGAAAAGTAATACTTTGTTCTCACCCGGGTAACAACCTAACCTGTTTCACCCGTCAACAACAGTACTGTAGGGCTATACTATGCAGCATCTTCATCTTATCCTTCTCCATAGTTCAGTGCAAGGGCCTTCTTGTGGTGCTGAGGCTGCAGCCAAATGCTGCACTGAGTCAGCCACTGCTGGGAGACCTGGTAGAGGAACGCTGGGGTGTCACCATGGCAGGAGGAGGGGGCCAGCAGCTAGGTGGCGGGAAATGAGAGGAAGGCCAGAGGTGACTTTGTTGACTGAGTTCATGACAACAAAAATATAAACAATGGAGGAATTAGGTACGTCGATTTTAGTTATGATGAAGTGAGACAGTTATACTTATTAATGTGTTAATGGCATTTTCTTCAAAATCTTCATTGAAATTACTGTAAAACATATTGAATGACTCATTCAAAAAGACACATTGATCTCCAAATTTGTGCCTATTAATTTCTTCCTCCCAAGGTAAGACACACACACCTTTACAATTACAATATACTTTTGACCTTACATGGATGTACATGGTCCCATCCACCACAACAGTTGAAAAGAATGATAAATTAGATACCATGTTGTGGCTGATGTTTGAGAAGTGCTTGGGGGTGTGTTTTCTAGCAGCTGGGTCAGAGATCTTACAGTACAATTGGCTTTTTCAGATTCACCCAAGATCTGGAAGCACTCCTGGAAAACTACACATGGTTTCTTCACATCACCATTCTCCAACTGCATAGACAAATATTACCTATCATATGACATTATTATATTGTTTAAATGTTACATTCTCATATAGGAAAATAGAAAATTGGCAATCAAGACAGACCCTCCATAGGACACATAAATGTGCATGTAATAATTTCCTCTTAACTGGGTAAACTTTGAATGAACAAAAAGATGGGTGCACTCTCATCTTTGTTGAAAGATTAGAGATGTTCATTTCCATGGGTGAAGACCATGGTGAAGACAAAGATGAAGATCTTTCAACTGTATCCGACTTGGCAGAACTCCAGTCCCCAAATGCACTGTCCACCTCGGTGTCATTATCTTCCCAAGCCGTTTGGACAGACCTGTCGACAAAATCCCCGCAAGCAAAAACCAATGGTTCCTCCATTGAACGGATAAGAGTCTGTTTTTGGACAAGGATCAGATAATGGAGGAAATTGTAATGTATCCGTCCATCCACATCCACAGATGCTCCCAACTTCTGGACAGATCAGGCAATGCTGTGATGATCGGAAGTAGCTTCAGTGACTTCACTCTCTCTATTGTTATGATTCCCTGTGACTTATACTGTATATTAGGTGTAACAGTTAAAGATAGCCACAAAAACAGCAATATATGCATATAAAGAGAATTATACCCACCTGATTAATAAAACAACAAACACGGTCCATAACCTACACATAATGTTAAGCTGTTGCTAGACTGTGACTAAACTAATTTGAAATAACCCTATTACATTCATTATTATTACATTAAATCTTTGACTGTATGCATTAAACTCACGATACACTGTTAGATCTTACGAAGCATTTAGTTTAGAGATAGCTAAATAGGCCAATATTCCTTACTGGTGGCGCGTCTCTATAACAGATGAAGTTTTAAAGAATCCGGAAGATGATAAAATACAGTAGCCTACTTCCTAATGTTTTGGAGCCGCCCCGATGACGAAAAGGTTGCGTAGGAGCCAAACCTTACCTGACGCAGGTAATTGACAGCGGAGATCTACACCCAATTAAAACCGACAGAGGGCGCCCTAGGTTCTAAGATGTGTGTTTTAGCCACAGTTGCGGTCAATCAAAATGTACTAATATCTGTAGGTGACAAAGAGTCGATTGTCAAGACATTACTAGGCAGTGCATGTTTTTGGTGGCTATCGTTAACTGTTAATGACGTGGCTGTCCTTTCACTTATATCCTCTGAAGAGCTCTTCCATACCACTCCAGTCAAGCAATCAAGGACTATTACTGTGAGTAAACATTTATTTTCTTTCAATTCATTCTGTTTGCCTCTTTGCTTCCTGAGACATTGGGAAATAAATTCACAGCCTGACTCTGACTCTTATGGTTTTACATAATGAGAACAATTACATGGGAGGAAATATTTATATCCATCCACATGGTTAAAATCAAAACCATAGACTCAATTAGTAGTAATAGTACACACTGTTCCTCACAGACAGTATCTGACAAGACTCATGTTATTAGGCTTTTTTTTTCTCGAAGTTGACAGACAATATAACGAAAACTATTTTGGGCATTCCTCAACCCCATCTTACTCAAGGCATGCCATGTGAACTCAGAACAGTAATTGGAATAGGAAGTGACTGGTGGTAAATATGTAACAGCAAGTTATTGCCAAGGCATTCATGCCAAAACCCACTGGGCAAACCAGTCATTTCAACGTGGACATTTGGGTAATGTTTGGTTGAGACGTTGATCAATGAGAGTTCAACCTTTATTCACCCACTCAAAAAGACAGCCAGAAGTTTGTTGAATTCCCCATTTCAACCAAATTCCAATGGAAAAACTGATTTTTGGTTTAGTTGTCATCTAAATGTGTTATCACTGCGCTTTCAACTATTTAAAAGCACAACAAAGTTCAGATGGGAATACAATGTCAGATATTTTGTATTTATACAACAACTTAATGGGTTATCACTGTGCTTCATCTAATTGCACATCCAAATGACCTGGATTGCAGTTGAGATTACGTTAAAAGTACATAGTGTAAGTGATCAATGCTATTCAAGATTCTGCACAGATTATTACAGCAATTGTGAAGATCTCCACAGACCTACGACCTTTGCATGCTATCTTGAACATTCATACTTTCTATGATTACATAAGAAGACATTTATAGTTACAGTAGGCTAACCTCAAAATGTGGCCATGGATGTGTTACTCATTTTAAGGTTGAATAAATACTGTTATATTAGTTTGTAACTTAAGGCTATTTACTGTATTACAAAAATATTCTTGAATTTGTTTGACAACTCACCCAAATATCAACATTTAAAGGATACCGTATGCTTGGATATAGTTTCATCTGAACCACTGGCTTAATCCTATTCCTTAACTTTTATTTTTGGTTTAGTTGGAGACGTGAATCCAACATATCATTTGTCAACAAGTAAATAGGCTATCATTTACTGTATTGCAAAAGTGATATTGAATTGTGTGTGCTTGTCAACAAATTCCAGTTAGTCTACAAATTAATAATTGATATGTTGGATTCACGTCTCCATCTCAACCAATAATCAAAGTTAAAGAATAGGACTAAATCAAATCAAACTTTATTTAAAGTGCATTTAATGTTTGATTTGAGTTGTTTTAGTCCTATTCTTTAACTTAGATTTCTGGTTGAGATGGAGACGTGAATCCAAGATATCAATTATTAATTTGTAGACAAACTTGAATTAAAGCCAGACTGTCATTGGCACAGATGGAACTATCCAAGCAGAAGATACATCTGCTTGAAATGTTGATATATGGTTATGTTGACAACCAAACACAATTCAATACCCAGTTTGTCTACAAATTAATAATTTATATTTTGGACCACGTCTCCATCTCAACCAAAAATCTAAGTTAAAGAATAGGACTAAATCTAATCAAACTTTAAATAAAGCATGATTTGATTTAGTCCTATTCTTTAACTTAGATTTTTTGTTGAGCTGGAGAGATGAAGCCAACATATTAAGGATTAACTTGAAGATTACATTTGAACTCAACCAGGCCTCTCGAGTGGTGCAGTGGTCTAAGGCACTGCATCGCAATGCTTGAGGCATCACTACAGACCGGGGTTCGATCCCAGGCTGTGTCACAACCGGCCATAAGGCGGTGCACAATTGTCTGGTTTTGGCCGGGGGGCTTTACTTGGCTCATCGCGCTCTAGCGAATCCTTGTGGCGGGCCAGGTGCCTGCAGGCTGACTTCGGTCATCAGTTGAATGGTGTTTCCTCCGACACATTGGTGTAGCTGGCTTCCGGGTTAAGCGGATGGGTGTTAGGAAGCGTGGTTTGACGGGTCATGTTTCGGAGGACGCATGACTCGACCTTCGCCTCTCCTGAGGCCGTTGGGAAATTGCAGCGATGAGACAAGATCCAAATTGGATATCACGTATCTTTTTTTTTTTATCAACCAAAACTTGAAACCCTAGGCCTATATGTATTGTCTATTTTTAGTTGAACCCTGGGTTGAATTGAAACAATAGCTGTTGATGAATTTGCAAACGCTATATAGGCCTAAATAGTATCATTGATGAAATATGACTTATATATGGTTACATTTCATTTCCTCTGTTAAACCTACCCTTTGGAATGACTTCGATAGCAACAGTGAATATATTTAGTTATTAAGAGGTCTCTCAATAATCATTCTCACGATAGCACATTGGTTGTAGTCAGTGAGAAATATAAAAGCTGGTTAAAAGCCTGGATGGTAGACCAAATTAATAGCTGTAGATCAACTCTCCAGTAGGCGGTGCTGCCCAGCCTATTGTTGAAAAAATAGTGGATATAACGTTTAAGATCTGACGTTGTTTCAAAGGTACAAATTCAACGTATTTTATACAAGGAGTGTCTATCTTGAAAATGTGTTACAATGATGACATAATCCTGAAATTTCACCCTCAAAACAGTTTATGTTGATTACTTTTTTCAAATCCAATGTATATTCCACGTAGATTCTACATCACAATACTTTGACAAATTACGTTGAAACAACGTTGTTTTAACCAGTTTGTGCCCAGTGGGAAGTGATGCAAAACCGAGGCCATGTTCTCTGAAACTATGTTTTTTTTAACCCTAAAGTCTTCACTAAACTACCTTGAGGAGCCCTGCGATATCATTTCAAATGAACAACCCTATATTACCTAATAGCAACTATCTTGTATTGCCTTGTCTGGTCTAAACCAATATAATGTCACAGTACTAATAATGCTTCAATTCATGCAAACACACACAGTCCCACATTTGTCTGTCACTTTGTCTGGAACCAGAGCACGTCCTCTGCTGTTTATGCAGAAGTAGAGTCATACTATGCCACGAGGTTATGCAGGTTACACTCCTCAATTGAATTTACTCAAAATGAATGATGAAGATGGGTAATTAAAGGCAGAGTATAAGTCATTAGTCCGCTCTGCACTGTTCTCACGTTACCAAGCCAACCTGGGGATTTTTTTCATACTCGGCTGTTAAACATCAACATTTGACAGGTCTTGTATTGGTGCAGGAGTCTCCATCGTGTGATGATAAAACACGTTTTTCTCTTATTATAACATGGCCCTCAGTCATATAGAGCCAATAGGGAGGTGGATTTTGAAGCTGATTAAATTTGCCATGTAATGTGTAAAGGTTTACTAGACCTAATGTCCACATGTCCATCAGAGCTAACCAAAATCCATGGTAGGAGCTGAGACGATCTATATGTTGCCTATTTATTTGCACCTTTAACCATTATAGGTCTTCACTCATTCATGAACATTTGGATATCTATACAGGCAAAAATACAGGTAACTGCCAAAATAAAGGAATCACTAACATAAAGCGTCTTAATAGGGCGTTGAGTCACCATGATCCCCCAGGGCCCCCAGAAGAGCTTCAATGCGACCCATGGGCGGCGCACAATTGGTCCAGCGTCGTCCAAGGTAGGGGAGGGTTTGGCCGGCAGGGATGTGGGTTCGTTTCCCACGGGGGGCCAGTATGAAAAAAATATATATATATTCCCTTTTATGCATTCACTAACTGTAAGTCGCTCTGGATAAGAGCGTCTGCTAAATGACTAAAATGTAAATGTAAAAATGTCTTGGCATAGATTCTACAAGTGTCTGGAACTCTATTGGAAGGATGCGATACTATTCGTCCACGAGAAAATTCCATAATTTGGTATTTTGTTGATGGTGGTAGAAAACACTGTCTCAGGCGCCACTCCAGAATCTCCCATAAGTTTCAATTGGGTTGAGATCTGGTGACTGAGACACACACACACGTGCGCCCTTTAAACACCCTATGCTCCTTTGAGACCCGTCTTTCAAAGTCACTGAAATCTCTTCTTCTAGCCAAGGTAGCCGAAATAATGGGCAACTGGGTATTTTTATACATGACCCAAAG